ACCATATCAACAAAGTTGCTGCAAAATTAACCGATAATGTTAGAGTTAGTATCACGGTATAATATAGTTCAAAGAGTTTTATACACAACCATCAAATGTATAAAAGCAAAAAATTACACTTATACATAGCCCATCATAGAAAAATGCAGTGAATTAACCAAATTTAGAGTATATCTTGCAAAATTAACCTATCTCCCGATAATGTTAGAGTTAGTATCACCGTATAATATAGTTCAAAAAGTTTTACACAACCAACAAATGTATACAAGCAAAAAATTAAACTAATACAAAGCCCATCCTAGAAAAATGCGGTGAATTACCATATCAACAAAGTTGCTGCAAAATTAACCTATCTCCTGATAATGTTAGAGTTAGTATCAAGGTATAATATAGTTCAAAGAGTTTTATACACAACCAACAAATGTATACAAGCAAACAATTAAACTTATACAAACCCCATCATAGAAAAACGCCGTGAATTAACCAAATCGGTATAGTTCCTGCAAAATTAACCTATCTCCCGATAATGTTAGAGTTAGTATGACCGTATAATATAGTTCAAAGAGTTTTACACAACCAACAAATGTATACAAGCAAAAAATTAAACTAATACAAAGCCCATCATAGAAAAACGCAGTGAATTAACCAAATTAGTATAGTTCCTGCAAAATTAAGCTATATCTCCTGATAATGTTAGAGTTAGTATCACCATATAATATAGTTCAAACAGTTTTACACAACCAACAAATGTATACAAGCAAAAAATTAAACTTATACAAACCCCATCATAGAAAAATGCGGTGAATTAACCATATCAGTATAGTTCCTGAAAAATTAACCTATCTCATGATAATATTAGCGTTAGTATCACGGTATAATATTGTTCAAGGAGTTTTACACAACCAACAAATGTAGCTATACAAGCAAAAAATTAAACTTATACAAAGCCCATCATAGAAAAACGCGGTGAATTAACCAAATCAGTATAGTTCCTGCAAAATTAACCTATCTCCCGATAATGTTAGAGTTAGTATGACCATATAATATAGTTCAAAGAGTTTTACACAACCAACAAATGTATACAAGCAAAAAATTAAACTAATACAAAGCCCATCATAGAAAAACGCAGTGAATTAACCAAATTAGTATAGTTCCTGCAAAATTAAGCTATATCTCCTGATAATGTTAGAGTTAGTATCACCATATAATATAGTTCAAACAGTTTTACACAACCAACAAATGTATACAAGCAAAAAATTAAACTTATACAAACCCCATCATAGAAAAACGCGGTGAATTAACCATATCAGTATAGTTCCTGAAAAATTAACCTATCTCATGATAATATTAGAGTTAGTATCACGGTATAATATAGTTCAAGGAGTTTTACACAACCAACAAATGTAGCTATACAAGCAAAAAATTAAACTTATACAAAGCCCATCATAGAAAAACGCGGTGAATTAACCAAATCAGTATAGTTCCTGCAAAATTAACCTATCTCCCGACAATGTTAGAGTTAGTATCGCCCTATAATATAGTTCAAAGAGTTTTACACAAGCAACAAATATATACAAGCAAAAAATTAATCTTATACATACCCCATCATAGAAAAATGTGGTGAATTAACCAAAAATCAAACTTATACAAAGCCCATCATAGAAAAACGTGGTGAATTAACCAAATCAGTATAGTTCCTGCAAAATTAACCTATCTCCAGATAATGTTAGAGTTAGTATCAACGTATAATATAGTTTAAAGAGTTTTACACAACCAACAAATATATACCAGCAAAAATTAAACTAATACAAAGCCCATCATAGAAAAATGCGGTGAATTACCATATCAACAAAGTTGCTGCAAAATTAACCGATAATGTTAGAGTTAGTATGACGGTATAATATAGTTCAAAGAGTTTTATACACAACCATCAAATGTATAAAAGCAAAAAATTACACTTATACATAGCCCATCATAGAAAAATGCAGTGAATTAACCAAATTTAGAGTATATCTTGCAAAATTAACCTATCTCCCGATAATGTTAGAGTTAGTATCACCGTATAATATAGTTCAAAGAGTTTTACACAACCAACAAATGTATACAAGCAAAACATTAAACTAATACAAAGCCCATCATAGAAAAATGCGGTGAATTACCATATCAACAAAGTTGCTGCAAAATTAACCTATCTCCCGATAATGTTAGAGTTAGTATCACGGTATAATATAGTTAAAGGAGTTTTATACACAACCAACAAATGTATACAAGCAAACAATTAAACTTATACAAACCCCATCATAGAAAAACGCTGTGAATTAACCAAATCAGTATAGTTCCTGCAAAATTAACCTATCTCCCGATAATGTTAGAGTTAGTATGACCTTATAATATAGTTCAAAGAGTTTTACACAACCAACAAATGTATACAAGCAAAAAATTAAACTAATACAAAGCCCATCATAGAAAAACGCAGTGAATTAAGCAAATTAGTATAGTTCCTGGAAAATTAAGCTAAATCTCCGGATAATGTTAGAGTTAGTATCACCATATAATATAGTTCAAACAGTTTTACACAACCAACAAATGTATACAAGCAAAAAATTAAACTTATACAAACCCCATCATAGAAAAATGCGGTGAATTAACCATATCAGTATAGTTCCTGAAAAATTAACCTATCTCATGATAATATTAGAGTTAGTATCACGGTATAATATAGTTCAAGGAGTTTTACACAACCAACAAATGTAGCTATACAAGCAAAAAATTAAACTTATACAAAGCCCATCATAGAAAAACGCGGTGAATTAACCAAATCAGTATAGTTCCTGCAAAATTAACCTATCTCCCGACAATGTTAGAGTTAGTATCGCCCTATAATATAGTTCAAAGAGTTTTACACAAGCAACAAATATATACAAGCAAAAAATTAATCTTATACATACCCCATCATAGAAAAATGTGGTGAATTAACCAAAAATCAAACTTATACAAAGCCCATCATAGAAAAACGTGGTGAATTAACCAAATCAGTATAGTTCCTGCAAAATTAACCTATCTCCAGATAATGTTAGAGTTAGTATCAACGTATAATATAGTTTAAAGAGTTTTACACAACCAACAAATATATACAAGCAAAAATTAAACTAATACAAAGCCCATCACAGAAAAATGCGGTGAATTACCATATCAACAAAGTTGCTGCAAAATTAACCGATAATGTTAGAGTTAGTATGACGGTATAATATAGTTCAAAGAGTTTTATACACAACCATCAAATGTATAAAAGCAAAAAATTACACTTATACATAGCCCATCATAGAAAAATGCAGTGAATTAACCAAATTTAGAGTATATCTTGCAAAATTAACCTATCTCCCGATAATGTTAGAGTTAGTATCACCGTATAATATAGTTCAAAGAGTTTTACACAACCAACAAATGTATACAAGCAAAAAATTAAACTAATACAAAGCCCATCATAGAAAAATGCGGTGAATTAACCAAATCAGTATAGTTCCTGCAAAATTAACCTATCTCTCGATAATGTTAGAGTTAGTATCACCGTATAATATAGTTCAAAGAGTTTTACAACAACAAACAAATATATACAAGCAAAAAATTAAACTTATACATAGCCCATCATAGAAAAACGCAGTGAATTAACCAAATTAGTATAGTTCCTGCAAAATTAAGCTATCCATGGCCAGAAATTTGTGACATTTGAGCCTGCAAAACATACAGCGGTAAACTTGCGCAATATGGTAATAAGCTGAATATGGCTGCGAAGCGAAGTGTTGAAGTCGCGGTTGATTATCAGCAATTGCACTCATTTTCATCGGTTGTTCTTTTCGATACGAAAAAGAGAAAGCGTGGTAAATTGTACGAGGCAGAGCGGATAATCGAGAGACGGTCGAAAGGAAAGGTAAACGATAAATTTGTATGCTACTTCGTCTTTAAACTTTCATAGTACTGAATTACTAAAATGTTGTGTTAGTCATATTATACTTCTTTATAACCCAATTTAAAATAATTTTTAGGCCTACGAATACCTAGTAAAATGGAAAGATTGGCCACTGGAGAGCAGTTCTTGGGAGCCAACAGAAAACCTGAACCACCAGTTGCTAAGGTTAGTTTCCTGGGGTCTATTCATTTATTGATTTAATATGACTATACAGAAGCCCATTTGGTAAGCACATTCCCCATTGTTAGATTACTGTGCCTTGATTTTAATTGAATGCGTTACTGTTTAAAATTTAAACAGTTACTAGCCTTACTACAATATCCATTCCATGTTGCTGATTGCCCCTCCATACAATATTTTTTAAGGGAGACATATTGTGATCTGTTTTTTAATGTAGAAGCTATACACTTCCAGTGGTACCAAGCAATGACATTTTACAGGAAGCAAGCCGACACTTTTCATTAGGCGTGTTTACTTCACTCAAAAGTTCATCGTTATCTCCTGTATATGTAAACATGCGCTTGGATGTGTGGAGATACATCATTCACAACAAAGGCACACCATCAGCTCATCGTGGACATCTGATGCTAGGTAAAGAGGACCTGTATAGACTTAAATTTCTGCCTGATAATTGGTGGTATATCATTAATGAGCATGGAGAAGGTTCAGCAGTTGATTTTCCACTCAAAGTGAAGCCAGTGCTCTCATGGTCACCAATTTCCTTCATAGTAAAAGAAGGAAAACTTATTAAAGCCCAGAGACTCCCAAATGAAAGACTTTGTATTTCCCTATTGAAAAAACCTTGTAACATTCAAAATACTTGCTAGTTAAATAACTTGATAATACATTAAGCCAACAATGAACAATATGAGTGTTTTGTTATTTACAGTAACAAGTCTGCAAAGGAGACTCAGTTCCAACCATAATCACCCATAGATGCCATAGACATTTAACCAAGCATGATTAGCATATTGTTAGAAATTTTACACAAGGACCCCTGTACATTCCTGGGCTAAGCATTTACTAACTTAGATTATCTCTGAGCAGCTGACTGTATCGCAATTTGATAAAGCTCTTGCAGCCGTTTAGCATTTCGTACTTTTGTGGGATATCCCATCTTCTTTAGCTTTGCCCTGATTTCAGGGGGGCTCATTTCAGCTACTGCATCCTGTTCCTGATTATGTTCATCAGGTGTTTGAATACTTTTCCTGAGAAGTGATCGCTTTTCCTTGATGGTCGTATCCCAGTACTCAGCATTTTTCTTTATATACTCCCTGGGTTTCCTCTCATAATCTTGCAAATTCTCTAGCCTCTTGCTCACCAATAGCACATCCTTTGCAGCATCCCACTTGTTTGATTTAAAAAGATGAATGCGTCGGCAATCATCGTTCTTCTTCTCAACACCTTTCATAATATTGAAATAATATTATTTTATAGCAGACAAACATTTATATTTTCTTGTTCAAATAGTGTGGCTACAGCACATTATACTTTGCCACCTTGACACATGTTATCACCCTCAAAAATACTTATTTAGTAATTGTGTTCTTTTACCTTGGCCGGTGAATTTGCTTAATCCACTATGTTTACTCATGAAGAATGGTGCATGGTAAACCATACTATGCATATATGGGGTAACATTTGTCTTCTTATAGCCCTCAGCTTTGCCTCCAAGTGAAGTAAACAAGTTGACCCATGCTTTGGCCTTAATGAATAAAACAATATATAAGGTACTTGAACTTGCAACATCCAATTTAATCCCTTTTCCCCCATTGTTTCATATCTATTCAAGCAGAGTAGGAAATTTTAATATGTATTTACCTTCTGAAAATACTCTAAAACCTTGCTATTATCAGCAGTTCTGGCTGTGAGCATGCTGTAAAGGTCATTGAAATCCTAGATGTGAAAGAGAATAAATTATACTGTATAAAATAACTGCTACTGATAAAAAATGCAATTTAGGATTATCTCTGATAAGCATACACTAAATCAATCTGGTTTATGGTTTGTTCTTATGATGCCTACTATAGTCATCACAACAGTGATCCACACCTGCATTAACAGAATCATAAAATACTTACACTCCAGAGCTTAACAATAGTTGGACGGATGCTTGCTTCCACTACATGATCATCATGAAGCTTCTGTGGGAGAAGTTTTAGCAGTATCTTCTTATCTGAGCCCATCAAACTTGTTGATTCATAGGTCCCACTGCCCTTACCATCAGCATTTCTTTTCTCCCAGATTGCAAATGTTACACCACAGCTTCTTACAGCGCACAAGAGAGCCTCTATGTGTCTATTTGTCCTTTGGTTAGGGGGTTTATTATTATTTTCTTTGGCATCAGCTCTAATGGCTCCTGTGACCAAGTTGTTGAGCAATATATCTGGAAATTATAGTTCAGAATGTTCAGTGAATTGGCATTTGTTACATGTACACATATTAATTAATATTGGTAAAAACAGAGATAGCAAATGTAATACCTTACCAGTTACTCTCAACATTAAATGTAACTCATCAAGAACAATATTTTTAACATCAATATTGAGCAATGGTGGGTGAACACAGGAAAATGATTGCTTCCTAACACATGATATTATGTCTTCCAGTGAGCGCACTAAAGGTATCTCCCAGTAATAATTCATAGGTTTAGACATATCATGTCTGTTAAAAACAAAAAGTAATGAATCAGTATACTAAGTTTTAAACGTAAACACTTTCATGTTATTATAAATTATTTTGGTGCACTTTTTGAGAAAACAAATTTGAGGCTCTCAGGAATCTGTCAGAAAGTTCTTACCAAGATAACAGTCTGCATATTTCCCAACAAGTTCATTTACTTACCTGTGCGCCTTATGAAGTTTACACCAAATGCATGAGTGGTCTGATGTTGCTCCCTTCATGCCACAAATTTCCAACAGAAACTGCAAACACAAGCATTTGAAATTTAGTTCTTGTTCATAAAAAAATTAATCTGCAATTTATATATGTTAATTTATTATCCCATTGAAACTGGCCCCGACTTTCATTCTGTTTTCCAGTTGACAAGCAACAGTTAGTTCTATATCACAAGTGCCCCAAGAAATCTGGCCAGGTATTGCAAAATTGAATATCGCTAATGACATTAGGCACTGAGTAGAGTTTAAATGTATTGCAGGTACCTTATAGTCACCACCAAGAAATAATTCAAGCATTATGTCATTTCCATCCACATTGATTTTTCCACTTCTCACAAACTTGTTAATAGATGTGAACAACTGAGAACAAGAAGACTTTAGTAATTCATAACTCTCTTGTCCCTTGATGACCGCAAGTGTGTGGTTACCTGTAAATCAATGGGAAATATATATTATATAATATTTAGACAAGAAAGAACCATAAATGCAGTAAACCAATCTGTTAACTAGCAGCTCTCTACCACTGATGATCGACTAAAGTTGTCTGGCATAAAACAAAGTAAAATATTAAAATAGGGAGCAAGGAGATCTTTCCCTGCTAATGGTCAAAAGTGCAGTTTTGGAGACAAATTACCCTTTGAGGACATTACATCATCACTGTCCACTATTGAAAAAGACATAACAAGAAAGCTAGTCTGTCATGTCATCTTAGCCCCATCTCCACTAATCTTGACTTTCACTTTCTCTTCACTTCCAATTTCAATTTCACCATTCTTTATCTATAATGCATAAATTTGAGATATAGATTTGACTATACTCATTTTCAAGTTTATCTGACTTTCGATGCTAATGTTGAATATATAGTTATAAATTAACATCTCAACAAACCTTGTTTCGTAATACATTTGCAAGTTCCCTTTCAAAATCAACCTGGGCTCCCTCAGCCTCACCCGGTGTCCTTGTAATATGGACAATGCTATTCATGTCACTCTTGCATTGCCTCACCAGATATGATCGAGGCAAATTTGTGCCATTTGGTACCATTGTCAGTTCATGATAGGCTGCCTCTCCAATGCAGAATTTGTCAGTAAGGAACACTGTCTGCTTGACCATATCCTTCTCTTCCTCAGAAAGATCCTTGTATGACCTGCTTGCTGTCTCTTTTCCATCTTTGTATGATATTGTGTGGTAAACACCAGCATCATCTTTGACCTCTACAGCAGACAGGCTTATTCCAAATGTCCTTCCAAACCATACTGCTTGCTCTATCTTGGATTTTAGTTCCTTCAGCTTTCGATACTCTTGTCGTCCCCCAACCTCAGAAATGTTTCTTCCCCTATTTACCATGCTTTGCAACTCTTCCACTTGGTCAACATACTGCAGCAAACGTTCTTGTGTTCTTTGGAGCTCTGTGTTAATGCTTATTTGCTCTTTCAACTTTTCTTCCACGTTACACTTTTCTGCTTCAGCATTGTTGACACTATTCTTCATCTCGTTGTAATCATTGAATAGGGATACTTTCTCAGCGGTAACGTTCTCAAGCTCTGCTTTTATCTCGCTTATGTGCTGAATTTCATCACTGCATATGCTCACGTATTTCATGCTTTTAGCAAAAACCATATAGTTTCCATAGTTTAGCAAAAACCATATAGTATTTTGAATTAGCTAAGCTAGCCAACCTCCTAACCCGATTTTCCACCCTAAGACAATCTTCTTTCAGCAGTACAACATATCGCTCTTCTAGGAAGCCATTTATGATCTGTACATATGACACATTTGGAACCTCGCACTTAAGGTCATACCAGCTTTTTAAACACTTGTTATTTACAGAAATTCTGAAAGATATCTTGTCGTCCTCATCACAACGTTTTATGGAAAAGCACTCTCGAAACTTGGCAAAATCGTACAATTTTTTATGAATATTTAATTGCGCCATCATAGTCTTAATTTACATTTTCGCATTTCGCGGTTTTTTGCGGGAGACTACCTGTTAGGCTACATAGAGTATCCGGTCTTTTGAAAACTTTGAACTGCTGACCTCCATGTCTGGCAGATCTAAACAGTTCACTGTCTTCTGATCATTTTGATAGCAAATATGGTACATTTATAGGCATATTTTCTTGAAAAATGATTTTTTTTTTCAAAGCGCGCATCTGGTGGCGCAAAAATAATGGCACACCGAACGCTAGCAAATTTCGCGTATTCAACTGGATTTTGGAACAGCTTTTTTACATCATTAAAGCAAGAAAAATATGGAAATGGCGAAAGGTAATCTCCAACTACAAGGTTCCGACGAGGCAAAATCTATATAATTTCTCTATCTTTCAAAATTGATCGTTCAATATCGCGTTTTGGGCATTTTTGAGTCTATTTACTACACTTTATGAAGGAAGACAGCCGTCGTAGCCGAAATTTCGAGTGGAACAACTTTCCGATCACTTTCACGCTATATCTTTGTGGCATAATATGCTGAAACTAGACCACAATTAGAAACCATCCAGGCAAATAGAAAAAAGTACCTATCCTAAAATATATTTGCCATTATTTGCCATTATTTAAGCGCTCCTAATGTATTTAAAGGACTTTACTTGCTTCAAATGTTTTTGCTTTTGGGCAACGCAGCTGGCGCGCCGCAGGCTCAATGTCTGTGATTTCTGGCCATGTCCGGATAATGCTAGAGTTAGTATCACCACATAATATAGTTCAAAGAGTTTCACACAACCAACAAATGTATACAAGAAAAAATCAAACTTATACATACCCATCATAGCAAACCGCGGTGAATTAACCAAATTAGTATATAGTTCCTGCAAAATTAACCTATCTCCGGATAATGTTAGAGTTAGTATCACCCTATAATATACTTAAAAGAGTTTCACACAACCAACAAATGTATACAAGAAAAAATTAAACTCATACGAAGCCCATCATAGAAAAATGTGGTGAATTACCATATCAACAAAGTTGCTGCAAAATTAACCTATCTCCCGATAATGTTAGAGTTAGTATCACGGTATAATATAGTTCAAAGAGTTTTATACACAACCAACAAAAGTATGCAAGCAAAAAATTACACTTATACATAGCCCATCATAGAAAAATGCAGTGAATTAACCAAATTTAGAATATATCTTGCAAAATTAACCTATCTCCCGATAATGTTAGAGTTAGTATGACCGTTTAATATAGTTCAAAGAGTTTTACACAACCAACAAATGTATACAAGCAAAAAATAAACTTATACAAAGCCCATCATAGAAAAACGCGGTGAATTAACCAAATCAGTATAGTTCCTGCAAAATTAACCTATCTCTCGATAATGTTAGAGTTAGTATCACCGTATAATATAGTTCAAAGAGTTTTACACAACAAACAAATATATACAAGCAAAAAATTAAACTTATACATAGCCCATCATAGAAAAACGCAGTGAATTAACCAAATTAGTATAGTTCCTGCAAAATTAAGCTATCTCCGGATAATGCTAGAGTTAGTATCACCGCATAATATAGTTCAAAGAGTTTTACACAACCAACAAATGTATACAAGAAAAAATCAAACTTATACATAGCCCATCATAGAAAAACGTTGTGAATTAATTAACCAAATAAGTATTATTCCTGCAAAATTAACCTATCTCCCGATAATGTTAGAGTTAGTATCACGGTATAATATAGTTCAAAGAGTTTTATACACAACCAACAAAAGTATGCAAGCAAAAAATTACACTTATACATAGCCCATCATAGAAAAATGCAGTGAATTAACCAAATTTAGAATATATCTTGCAAAATTAACCTATCTCCCGATAATGTTAGAGTTAGTATGACCGTTTAATATAGTTCAAAGAGTTTTACACAACCAACAAATGTATACAAGCAAAAAATAAACTTATACAAAGCCCATCATAGAAAAACGCGGTGAATTAACCAAATCAGTATAGTTCCTGCAAAATTAACCTATCTCTCGATAATGTTAGAGTTAGTATCACCGTATAATATAGTTCAAAGAGTTTTACACAACAAACAAATATATACAAGCAAAAAATTAAACTTATACATAGCCCATCATAGAAAAACGCAGTGAATTAACCAAATTAGTATAGTTCCTGCAAAATTAAGCTATCTCCGGATAATGCTAGAGTTAGTATCACCGCATAATATAGTTCAAAGAGTTTTACACAACCAACAAATGTATACAAGAAAAAATCAAACTTATACATAGCCCATCATAGAAAAACGTTGTGAATTAATTAACCAAATAAGTATTATTCCTGCAAAATTAACCTATCTCCCGATAATGTTAGAGTTAGTTTGACCGTATAATATAGTTCAAAGAGTTTTACACAACCAACAAATGTATACAAGCAAAAAATTAAACTCATACATACCCCATCATAGAAAAACGCGGTGAATTAACCAAATCAGTATAGTTCCTGCAAAATTAACCTATCTCCCGATAGTGTTAGAGTTAGTAGGACCGTATAATATAGTTCAAAGAGTTTTACACAACCAACAAATGTATACAAGCAAAAATTTGAACTTATACAAAGCCCATCATAGAAAAACGCGGTGAATTAACCAAATCAGTATAGTTCCTGCAAAATTAACCTATCTCCTGATAATATTAGAGTTAGTATCACCGTATATTATAGTTCAAAAAGTTTTACGCAACCAACAAATGTATACACACAAAAAATTAAACTTATACATAGCCCATCATAGAAAAACGTTGTGAATTAATTAACCAAATAAGTATTATTCCTGCAAAATTAACCTATCTCCCGATAATGTTAGAGTTAGTTTGACCGTATAATATAGTTCAAAGAGTTTTACACAACCAACAAATGTATACAAGCAAAAAATTAAACTCATACATACCCCATCATAGAAAAACGCGGTGAATTAACCAAATCAGTATAGTTCCTGCAAAATTAACCTATCTCCCGATAGTGTTAGAGTTAGTAGGACCGTATAATATAGTTCAAAGAGTTTTACACAACCAACAAATGTATACAAGCAAAAATTTGAACTTATACAAAGCCCATCATAGAAAAACGCGGTGAATTAACCAAATCAGTATAGTTCCTGCAAAATTAACCTATCTCTCGATAATGTTAGAGTTAGTATCACCGTATAATATAGTTCAAAGAGTTTTACACAACCAACAAATATATATAAGCAAAAAATTAAACTTATACATAGCCCATCATAGAAAAACGCAGTGAATTAACCAAATTAGTATAGTTCCTGCAAAATTAAGCTATCTCCGGATAATGTTAGAGTTAGTATCACCGTATAATATAGTTGAAAGAGTTTTACACAACCAACAAATGTATACAAGAAAAAATCAAACTTATACATAGCCCATCATAGAAAACCGCGGTGAATATTACTCAAATTAGTATATAGTTCCTGCAAAATTAACCTATCTCCGGATAATGTTAGAGTTAGTATCACCCTATAATATACTTCAAAGAGTTTTACACAACAAACAAATGTATACAAAAAAAAATTAAACTTATACGAAGCCCATCATAGAAAAACAGGGTGAATTAACCAAATCAGTATAGTTCCTGCAAAATTAACCTATCTGCTGATAATGTTACAGTTAGTATCACCGTATAATATAGTTCAAAGAGTTTTACACAACCAACAAATGTATACAAGAAAAAATTAAACTCATACGAAGCCCATCATAGAAAAACGTGGTGAATTAACAAAATCAGTATAGTTCCTGCAAAATTAACCTATCTCCCGACAATGTTAGAGTTAGTATCGCCCTATAATATATATAGTTCAAAGAGTTTTACACAACCAACAAATATATATACAAGCAAAAAATTAAACTTATACATGCATAGCCCATCATAGAAAAATGTGGTGAATTAACCAAATCAGTATAGTTCCTTTAAAATTAACCTATCTCCCGATAATTTTAGAGTTAGTAGGACCGTATAATATAGTTCAAAGAGTTTTACACAACCAACAAATGTATACAAGCAAAAAATTAAACTTATACAAATCCCATCATAGAAAAACGCTAGAGAATTAACCAAATCAGTATAGTTCCTGCAAAATTAACCTATCTCCCGATAATGTTAGAGTTAGTATGACCGTATAATATAGTTCAAAGAGTTTTACACAACCAACAAATGTATACAAGCAAAAGATTAAACTTATACAAAGCCCATCATAGAAAAATGCGGTGAATTACCATATCAGTATAGTTCCTGCAAAATTAACCTATCTCCCGATAATGTTAGAGTTAGTATCACCATATAATATTACGGTGGCCCAGAAGGCTCAACAAAAAATAAAAAGGAATGATACTTACATACTTATATAATAAAAACACACATAAAAGTCTCACAACGCAAACAAAAAATATCACAACGCAAACAAAAAATATCACAACGCAAACAAAATATATCACAACGCAAACAAAATATATCACAACGCAAACAAAATATATCACAACGCAAACAAAAAATATCACAACGCAAACAAAAAATGCCACAACGCAAACAAAAAATATCACAACGCAAACAAAAAATGCCACAACGCAAACGAAAAATATCACAATGCAAACGAAAAATATCACAACGGAAGTAAAAGTCACTTGACGGAAGTAATATACGCCACAACGGAAGTAGACACATTGAGAAAATATCCATGTGCGTGCCAAGTAGTAAAACTTAAAAAGTTGTCGTTTTGTTTTTCGCTGCTGGTTCCGTAAAAATGTTTTGTCAGATTTGTGGCGTAGAGGCACCAGATCGGTCTAACTTCTGCTGGAAATGCGGGGCGTGTGTTAAAAACGAGAAAGACGGAGAAGATAAAAAGAAAATCGTAAGTTTCACGGAATTCAGAAAGAGGAAAGAAGTGGAGCGATCATCTAGATTCCAACCGAAAAAGAAGTTGAAGTCAGGAAGCAGTTCGACCTCCAAGACGAAGGGAAAAGAGGATGCACAAGTGAGCATCAACGTCAACGGTTTATGAAGTTCGAAGATGACAAATTTAAAAAGTGTAGGGGACGAACCCTTCCTGTCAAAGTGCCAGTGACTGCAAAGGTAAAAACAATTTTAGAGAGAAGCGTTCGGAAACATGCAAACCACTTCAAAGACGTCCATGAGACCTTAGAATACACACTCATTTACCCCGATAACAGCGAAATAGTGCATCTACCAGGAACAACTGAGCAGTTCGTCCTTAATAAATACAGAGAAGATGTGGGAAGGAACTATAACCGTATTACTATTTTCATTGCGACCAAAACAGATTACATAAACAATAATTTATTTGAAATTGGCGAGAGTCTTGAAGCAGAATCTTCTGACAACAACCATTGCGGTGAAGACGACAGTGATCGAATAATCGAAGATGCCGTCACCAAAGAACGTTCCTTTCAACAGAGACTAGGGAATTGGAAACAGACAACATTGGATGAAGTGAACAGACCATGCAAGCACGTCTAGTGAAATTGCATTGCCAAATAGTAATGGGGATCAAAAAAGACAATCGTCTGTTGCACATTACATTGAATGTCCATCATGCTTTAAAAATTTTCCTGTTTATGAAATTGCAGAGCATGCTGATAGGTGCGTGGACATCTGGATTGGTGAGGTACAAGTAGAAGACAGTGAAAACGAAAGTGAAATAGACACTGATCTTCCTGACCCTGGACTTTATGTGGAACTGTCAGATACGTCTAGCTTGAAAAATGTTGCCCAGCAGTTAGCAGATATACATGTTAAGAAGGAACAACCCAGAAAAGTAAATGTTCGCAGAAAACACTTGTGGATTGATTTCAAGGAAGCCAAAAAGAAATGGAACCTTACTGCAAATACACCTATTCGAGTTGTTTTTCTGGGTGAACCAGCAGTAGATGATGGAGGTCCCAAAAGAGAATTCTTTTCAGGTAATTACCTTTCGATATCCAACCTGTATGAAAATGTTACCGCATGCCTATATATTCATTGATTACTGCATGAACATATCAATGATATGATGTACTTGTGTTTACCTATATGCAAAAATGTTAATCTGAAGACAACATTACGAATACTTTGTTACTAGCTATAGCATAGTATAGTCTAACATAGACATACAGTAATTAATAACATCTGTTTGGAAGGAGTCCAAACCTCAAGTTTAAGTCCTGCTATTTTAAATGTGCTATAATGAAAGTTCCAAAGTGACAGGTTGTGTATTGATGAGACCACCTCTAAACCATGAATAATTTTTAGTAGAAGTCTAATAAAAAATATGCAAATGAGTATTGACCTGATTAATATTCCTGGTATATGATACATCTGCTTTTAGAACTGTTGGAATATATTGAAGTAAAGTTGTTTGCAGATGGAAAGCCAATAAATTCAATAATTGGGCTTCAAAATGAAGATTTTAAGCTGGCAGGAGAAGTCATGGTGATGTCAATACTACAAGGTGGTCCTGCACCAGCATTCTTACATCGAGCTATATTTAATGTCATGACAAACCAGCAATTATCCATTGAAGATATTCCAGAGTCAATTTACAAAAGAGCAGCAAACCAGGTAGGTTATTCAAGGCAAATAATTTTTTATAAAAATGATTGCCTGACATGCTTGCATAATTTTTGTATTTTGTAGCACTGTATTTTTAATGTTTGTATAACTCACAAGCACCTTTATTTATAACCTGCCAACCTATACAAGCTCTTGAAGTCATTCTAGTGTTATATTCCATGTCACCATCAGCTACATTTTCACTTCACTGTATAATCATGAGTTTTTACATGCTAATTTCCCAACTAACAGATCATGGAAGCAAAGTGTGATGAAGAGCTACACAATGTCTTGGTATCAGACGATGTACTCACAGTCTTAGGAAACATTGGTTACACTGGTGTTCCCCATCGAGAAACTCTCAAGTCTATTACAGGCATCCTTCAGTGAGTAATATAACATTTTGATTTCTGAAATTGTATATAAATCAATCTTAGTTAGCTAACTGAGGTTTTATTCAATTATTTGAATCCAGATCCATTTGTATCAAAAGTCAATTCATTAGTACTATGCCTGAACTGATGCAACTTGAGCAAGGCTTGTCCAGTTGTGGTATTTTGGAAAGTGTCAAGAAGTGTCCTGAGCTATGGAAATTTGCCTTTGTTCGTGGTAGTTCTAATCTGAAGTCACCAGATGAATTCCTTGATGAACTGGAAGTAAAATACAGCCAGTCGCAACTGCAGAAAGATAAGGAAATTGATGTCTTTAAGTACTTTTGCGAGTTCATTCAGTCACTAGAGTTTGATGAAGGTGAGGGAAATTCACGTCATTCACTTCATATTGATTTGTTGTCAGACCAGCTTTACTTTGTCAATGTGTTTGTGAATAAACAATTGTGTAGCTGGAAGGCCTCCAGTTTCTACACTCCTGATCAAAAGGACTGTATTACGTACATTCCTTAATTATTTAGCTATGGTAAATAATATAACCTATAAGATGCTTTACCTCTAACCTATAAGATGCTTAAAGAGTAATGTCCTATGGATGGCTAGCCAAATTTGATTTTGAATTCAATTAAGTGCATATTGTGCAAAAAAAGGCATCGCTGTGCTTTTTTTACACTCATCTTTATTGCTTGTAATATTACAGAAATATCTATAGCGGGTTTACTAAAGTGGATGTCAGGAACTAAGACCACTCCAGTTTTGGGATTTTCAAAGAAGAAGACTTTAGTATTTGTTCATGGTTGTAAAGAAGGGTGCCGTTGCCGTCCAACCGTGTCAACTTGCGACCTGTTACTTATGGTACCGGTTCACATTACCAACGAAGAAGACATGAAAATTATGATGACCTCTGCGCTCAAAGAATCGTGTGGCTTTGGTTTCATATAAATCTACTTTGTTTCAGTGATTTAACTACATACATATCACACATGTACAGTTCTTTTTAAAAGTAGCGAGTTTAAGATGCACCAAAATCTACGAGCGGACGTGACATGAAAACAGATGCTTGACATGGGGGCGTAGCTAGAGCGTTAATTGGGGGGGGGGTTCAAGTAGCTGTTAAATGCGAATAGCGCGATGTTTTAGAGACAGAGCGTGAAGCCACGCCTTAGAAACGTAATGGCACAATTGTTGAAATTAACGCGACAACTATTCGCAATAACGGTCTTAATTGAATCCGCAGTATTCTGTTTTGCCCGACGGATTTTTTTGTACACATATGTGTTTTCAAAAGAAATCCGTCGGGCAGAGCAGAATATATGAGCATTCACCCGAACGAGGTCGTATTCACCCCTCAATTCAATTAACGCTTCATGCTAATAGTGTTGGGAAACTAGTTTTAATTTGCTTTTTATACGGCTCTGACTTTGTCTACTAAAAGACTTCTATAATTTTATACCTGTCGTGAATTCTTGAAAATAACGGCAAGGGCAGTATTACTTCACGTTTGCATCGTAGATTTGGCGCATCATGTTAAATGTTCACATTTTTATTGCCAATGTTAAATTAATATTGTTTTAAATGTTACAACTTGTTGTAGCGTTCTAGGTTTTAATAGAGTACACTGGCCCTACCTGGCTCTTGGCTACTAAACTCACCAGTTGCCCTAATCTCTTATTGTTTGTAAAGAACTTGGAGCAATGCTTTGTCTGCGTGCTTTGTCTATGGTGTTATATAAAGTTTATGTAATACATACTATATGTGTGCTATAGCAATAAAGTAGCATTCAATATTAACGCTAATTATACAGGAAAATGTAATGTTAAAATCTCCATTCAGCATTTTCAAACAGGTATAACTGTATTTTACTGCAAAGGGTTACCAACAGCTATTAAATACTCAAATAGATCATGTGCTTCTACATGATTCGCTGGATAAGGTAAAGCTTCATTGTCCATTACATAGTGGAAGTATTCTTGAAAAATATTCATCTCACCATCAATAACCTGAATTTGTACATGGTTTTGCACTGCCGCTGTTTGCTCATTTGTAACAGGGATTTTACAGTCTGCAGCCCCTGAACGCTGAGGCAGAAAAAACAATACATCAGGCACACCTGGAACAGTACCATACTTTGACCGTCGTATTCGATGTGTGTTCCAGTGATTCTTGACTTTATCCAGGTCATCTTGTAAAAGAGACTCAAAACAAAACCAAAGACATTCAAGGTGAAATTCACTGCCAATATCAAGTACCTCAGTTGCTGCCATTTCTTTAAAAAAATCAATCCACCATGAAGATCTTCCCCTTCGATAATAGGACCACCAAGCTTCTATACGTTGGTTACTTGGAGATGTCCCATATTTGTGGGACTTAGACCCTGAAAATTCATCACTTCCATGCTGACGAAAATATGCTTGGATTGCAGCCATTATCCCATTTTCTGTTCCACAATCAGTTCGGAGTAGCATGGGACAGCCAGAATGTTCTCTGACACACTCCAAAAAAAAATTTGCTGGCACTTCTGGTTTATTGTTTGACCTTGAAAGCTCCAACCACAATATTTTTCTGCTGTACCCATCAATAGCTCCATGTATGGGGAACCCATATGGTTTCAATTTATCATAACCTATATAATATGAAAGAGTGTTAAATGCCTGTTTACAGTTGTAATTTTTGCTGCGATGTGGGTGCGATTTTCTTCTTTTGGTGGATGTGAAGAAGCAGTTACGAGTAGCTACTAGTAGGTAATCGTAGCTATTAGTAGGTAATTATATACTATATGTTAATATGTATGACATACTACAGCGCGAGAGTTTTTGTTTAAGAGTTTGATTTCATCAAACACCTCACTGTTGGGCTACCTATGATGTAATTAGCATCTTACAGTGAGCTAGCTAACAACGACTACAGAACATTGAATATTTGTTTCATTACTTCTGTTTATTTTTTCTATACAGACTATCTTGCCCTTGGTAAATTAAAATTAATTTCAATAAGATTGCAGGAATAAAGTAATGTGTTTACCATCAGCGTGCCAGCAGAAATTTGGACCAAAGCTAAGGTATCTTCTTCTTTGAAGCCTTCGACTTCTTCTTTGCAGTGTTCCTTCAGGGTCAAGCTCTTGCAAAATTCTTGCAACATCTTTTCGTGGAACATGAATGTTATGACACAATCTCAGGGAATGCCAAATTGCTCTGTATCCTCGGAGTTGGCCGGGTCCAGATATTTCACTTTGAATCAGCTGTCGTAAACGATTTTCGTCAACGTTCAGCCCTCTTCTAGTCAAGCCGTAATCCTGAAGTCTTCTCTTTAATGTGCTAAGGCTCATGTGAATATCATGTTGACATCTCAGTAGATCAATAATGACTTTATTTTCATAACCACGATGGAAATATTGCTCAATCAACTCTTTCTGTTCTTTTTCCTCTGCCATTTTGAATTTAAAAAATAAAGAATCGGTTGCCTCCGGTCCATCAGGAAACTTTAACTTCCGTTGTGATATTTTTTGTTTGCGTTGTGGCATTTTTTGTTTGCGTTGTGATATTTTTTGTTTGCGTTGTGATATATTTTGTTTGCGTTGTGATATATTTTGTTTGCGTTGTGATATTTTTTGTTTGCTTTGTGATATTTTTTGTTTGCGTTGTCATATTTTTTGTTTGCATTGTGAGACTTTTATTTGTGTTTTTATTAATTTTAATTTAAGTATCATTTTTTTTTATTTTTTGTTGAGCCTTCTGGGCCACCGTATAATATAGTTGAAACAGTTTTACACAACCAACAAATGTATACAAGCAAAAAATTAAACTTATACAAACCCCATCATACAAAAACGCCGTGAATTAACCAAATCAGTATAGTTCCTGCAAAATTAACCTATCTCCCGATAATGTTAAAGTTAGTATCACCGTATAATATAGTTCAAAGAGTTTTACACAACCAACAAATATATACAAGCAAAAAATTAAACTTATACATAGCCCATCATAGAAAAACGCAGTGAATTAACCAAATTAGTATAGTTCCTGCAAAATTAACCTATCTCCGGATAATATTAGAGTTAGTATCACCCTATAATATAGTTCAAAGAGTTTTACACAACCAACAAATGTATACAAGAAAAAATCAAACTTATACATAGCCCATCATAGAAAACCGCGGTGAATTACCCAAATTAGTATATAGTTCCTGCAAAATTAACCTATCTCAGGATAATGTTAGAGTTAGTATCACCCTATAATATACTTCAAACAGTTTTACACAACAAACAAATGTATACAAGAAAAAATTAAACTTATACGAAGCCCATCATAGAAAAACAGGGTGAATTAACCAAATCAGTATAGTTCCTGCAAAATTAACCTATTTCCTGATAATGTTAGAGATAATATCACCGTATAATATAGTTCAAAGAGTTTTACACAACCAACAAATGTATGCAAGCAAAAAATTACACTTATACATAGCCCATCATAGAAAAATGCAGTGAATTAACCAAATTTAGAATATATCTTGCAAAATTAACCTATCTCCCGATAATGTTAGAGTTAGTATCACCGTATAATATAGTTCAAACAGTTTTACACAACCAACAAATGTATACAAGCAAAAAATTAAACTAATACAAAGCCCATCATAGAAAAATGCGGTGAATTACCATATCAACAAAGTTGCTGCAAAATTAACCTATCTCCCGATAATGTTAGAGTTAGTATCACGGTATAATATAGTTCAAAGAGTTTTATACACAACCAACAAATGTATACAAGCAAAAAATTAAACTTATACAAACCCCATCTTAGAAAAATGCCGTGAATTAACCAAATCAGTATAGTTCCTGCAAAATTAACCTATCTCCCGATAATGTTAGAGTTAGTATCACGGTATGATATAGTTCAAAGAGTTTTACACAACCAACAAATGTATGCAAGCAAAAAATTACACTTATACATAGCCCATCATAGAAAAATGCAGTGAATTAACCAAATCAGTATAATTCTTGCAAAATTAACCTCTGTCCCGATAATGTTAGAGTTAGTATCACCGTATAATATAGTTCAAACAGTTTTACACAACCAACAAATGTATACAAGCAAAAAATTAAACTTATTCATAGCGCATCATAGAAAAACGCCGTGAATTAACCAAATAAGTATAGTTCCTGCAAAATTAACCTATCTCCCGATAATGTTAGAGTTAGTATCACTGTATAATTGCTGCCTCCCTTAGGAGGCAGCACACTATTGTTGACAGTCTTGTAGATTCGCGATGTTTGTTCGCAGTGTTGTGCAATATGAATATCGTACCCATTCCCCGCCGTTTTCTATATGCGACAATGATCTCGATCATTTGGAAGTTCGCGATGTTTGTTCACAGTGTTGCACAATACATACCTTAACAAGAAGGACAGCACGCGATGACGACGGCCAAAACAAACTGCTTCATATAAATAGCTGTGAAGAAAAGTTGTCATGTGTTATAACTTCGTATGAATTCAATACAGCATAAGAAGTTGAAAATATGGCTTTTTTGCTCGAAACGATTATACTGAAGCAAATTTAAAGCTGCACTGTGCAGCCTGAAATTCAAATGCAGGCGTCTTACACATTTCCAGAGGTAAAAATCTGTGTTTGTCGTTGTAAATAGACTCAGCATTGTGTCTAAATTATTGATTTTAATAATTTTTAATCATTGTGTTGATTGAAATCATCAATTTTTAATCATTAAAAACTTTAATCATTGTGTTGATAGCCGTCGTCGTCGCGCGACGTCCTACATGCTTAAAGTCCTAGCTACTAAAGTCTTAAAGTCTTAGCTACTAAATTTTGCACGCAGTCGGATCGTATGATGACTAACGAGTTCTAGGCTAGCAACAAACCACAAAACAAGAAATTCAAAACTTTAATATAAAATCCCCAGTTCGTGAACAGTGAACACAGACAACAAATATTAAACTATGACCCTCTAAAGTTTATAACGTTTCAAAACGTTAATTTAAAAAGTTCATATACAAAACGTGCTTATAATGTTCAGTTTCTGAGAATCTGGACAGTAAACACAGACCACAGAAGCCCAGAAATGTTTTCGTTCTTGTGGGCTAGCGCGTGAATGCGAGCCTACTCTGTCTATTATTACAAGGTTTTTTTGAACACTGGCGGATGTTGTGGCCGATGCTTGCCAACCTTGTCATAATATAGACAGAGTAGACTCGCGTACACGTCCGAACACACGAGAACGAAAACATTTTTGGGCTGCTCTGCACAGACAAGAAGTTTTTGAATCTGTAATAACAATGTTTCAAAACGTTAATTTGTAAATTTCATATCTAACATATTCTTAGACTCTAAAGTTCATAACAATGTACTTTTGCTTACAAGTTGACATGAATAAGTTTTTTGTCTGAAACGTTGTAGGTTATTTTCAGGTTTTCGACTTCCAAAAGATTGTCGGTAACCTGTTCCTCTGTCTTACTACAAAGGAGCTTTACCCCAACTGATTCAAACATTATTACAATATGCTGATTGAATACCATTATAAAGAATTTCTCTTTGCTGACAACATCTTGAACAAATAGCCTGGCATACCAATGCTTGCTTTCTGAAGTAATCTTTTGCTTCATTTTACAGGTTGAACATATCACAAACTTGCCATTTAATTCACCTTTTTTACCACAAGCACTGCATGCATGATAGGTGGACACCATTTTAACACCAATCACTGAAATGACAACTTCTCTTGTGGCCATGTCCATGACACTTAGCTGAACTTCAGCCAGATCTTCTTCAAAATCAGGAGCCTCCTTGAATTGGAAACCTTCTTTTGCTGTATTCACACACAATTCATTTGTGTGATTATCTTTCTTCACTCGGAAATTTGTAAATACATATGTTTTATTGACTTGAATGCAGTTTGACCACTCTTCCCAGAAAACTGCATTAATTGAACCAGTAGGATCAACAAGAATTGCAGTAGATTTAGTTAGATTTCCTCTTTCAAGCTTGATGGTTTTCTCTCATGATATCTTCTTCACGGTTGCTTTTATTCGTACCAGCTGTTGTGGCATTGTAGTGGCCAATGACTCAATGGTTAAAAGAGATTTCTCTGGTGATTCTTTCATTGCAAATGGTAATGCTTTTGGGTTAATAGTTATTGCAGTGTTTTTGTCAATAACTACATTCTGAAACTTCTCGTTATAATGGTACTTGTTAAGTTTAATTGGGCTTTTCTTTTCCGTTGCTGATGTAAGACAGCAGTGCTGTATTCTTTTCTGGTGAAAAGCAAATGGCTTTCATCATGCCATTCTCAGAGGTTTGTAGGTTGCATGTAACATATCTAACTTTCCCAGAACTATGGACTGGGGTTACATCATGAACATAGCCAAAAAACTCACCACCTACAAATTAATACAACCATATTAAACATGCAATTTTCCTTTGGATGAATCCAGTCAGATTTGAACCCCTAAAAGATAGGATCAAATTCTAGAAATAAACACCTCCTGGGAAATTGGAAAACATTTGCTTTATACCTCTTAGAAAAGTGGAAAATCAAGAGCTCACAAGAAAATCACACTTCATTAAGACTGGTTTCCATTCAGTCAAAATAGTCGTGAACACAGGGTTTGAAACAGCTGCTAGCAATAGCCAAGAGTTTTGGACCTTGCTGGCAATTTTTAATCTCAAAGCATTGTTGATTTGCTTACAATAGCAAAAACATATAAATAAAATGTATTGTTCTTACAAATGTCGAGTTTTTTTACATCACTATTTATGGCCTATAGTATAACCTCCAGAACATAACTAAACTTTTCTTTTCACTGATTTGTTGCTCACAAATTATTTCAAAACTAGTGTTGCCTGTGTAAAAGACTCCTTACCTTCCTCCATATTTTTTTGGGGTACCTTTAGGTTATCGTTTATCTATCAAAAATATAATTTTACATCATCAGACATAAAATGTACTTATTTTACTGTCCATGCATCACTAGACAACATGTGTCCTCAGCATCACGATATTTACGAAAAACAAATGATTAAACCATGGAAAAGAATGGTTTTGTACAGGAGAAAAGGACAAAAGAAAACTTTGAAACTATTCAAGAAGTGCAGATGATCATGATTTACCTAGAATTAAAACGGATTGCAAAAACATGCAATATTACCAAACTGATCTATTTTTATTACCTCTTCCGCCATTGTTACAAGAAAAGAGATCTATTGTATCCAGTCCTATTGTCCTCAATCTCGTTCCCCGAGATCATTGAATCAGAAATCATTCTGATTTGTCGCTTCACGCCGTTTCAATTTTGAAATACAAAACACCGTTGCAAGTTACAAACTTAACCGGAAGTCTGGCTTCTGGTTTGGATTATCCTGGGATTATCCCGGAGCCTAATCTAGAGCCTTTGTTTTTCAGAGGAATCCCGGGGTGTATAGA